CTCGCTTGAGCCCAGGAGTTGGAGGTTGCTGTGAGCGTGATGCCATGGCACTCTACCCAGGGGGATAGCTTGAGGCTCTATCTCAAAAAAAGAAGAAGAAAAAAAAAAAAGAACCCCTGGTGGGGGAGTAGAGCAGGGATACTCACGGGTCACTAGGTCAAAGCACTTTTTCTCCTCAGGGTTTGGCCTCACTTGGCATGTCAGCAGGGTCAGCTTCACTGGGGGCCGGTTTATCTGTGGGAATTTGGGGTGTAAGATGCACATGTTACTTTCTGGCCCTCCTAAACTCATTAGGCCCATTTCCCAACCTGTTAAGTGGGTATAATAATCCTGTTGACGTTTATGTTTCTCCTTTCCTTGGTACTGTAGAGTATTGACCAAGACTGGAGCTTTGGGTCCCATCCTTCCTCCCACAAGGGGTTTCTAGTTCCCTGGATCCAGGTTTAGGGTCCAGTCTTGGAGGGAGGGCTTGACTTCTCTATTCAGACCACCAGGCGGAGAGGACCCGTCGTGCCCTAAGACCACCCCATCTCTAGGCCTCACCGTGCTGTGTGAGATGGTCAGGCAGCCATACTTGACTCCACACTTCCTCTTCTGCCATACTCTTCGAATTCTAAGGCCCAGAGGGGTAGAGAGACAGTGGCCAAAGGCTCACATCTAATTCCCCTGTATCAAAGAACAGAGTCCTGGCCCCACCTGTATGATCTCTCTAGCCACATCCCTTTCCCTCCCCAGACCCTGACATCCCTCTCTCTGGGGCTCCTTTCTGATAGAGGAGACACAGTTCTCCCTTAGGAAGATCCCAGGTTGATAGAGAAACAGCCCCTCTCTAGGAATCCTTATTCTAAGGTGATAATGTGACTTTGGCCTTCTGGGAGCTTCTAGTCTGAGGGAGGGGACAGAGCTTGCAACTTTAAAGGGCTCATGGCTAGAGAAGAAACATAGGTTCTTGATCAGCCCAGGTGAATTATGGTTAAACTAAACAAGATCAATACTGAGAGCCCAAAAATAAAATTAGCAAATCCATGGTCCTAGGCAACTTAATTCTTCTCCTGTAAAATGTAAATATTGATTGGTTTCTTCTTCAAAGTTACCCTCTGATTAAAATTGATTAGTAAGTAGAAACATGAATATATCCCATAAGGGGTCTTTGTGTTTCACAGACTATTTTTTTTTACACTAGGGAGCAAGGCACAGTCAACACTTTCATTTTTAGGCATATGCAGTATATTGCAGCGGTTAAAAGTGAGAGGATGGTAAATCCTCAGTATTAGCTATTGCTTTAAGTTAAGAACAGTGACTTTTAGCAGAGGTTCACATGCCCAGGTGTCTGGACAACCCAAGATTTGATAATTTTGGCTTGTCAGAGGGGAGGGTCCTGCAAACTTCAGGGTCAACAAAAAAGATGAGAATAGTTCCCTTGGGCAGCTTCCCCAACCCCGGCATTTACTAACCGAATGACTTGGGGCAAGTTAGTATAGCTCTCTGAAGCACTTACCCATCACTCTTCTTATACAGAAAGCCCACCTTCTCCGTCCCAAATTGCTTGTTGCCTTGGTGCTGGTGGATGCTGTAGCCACCTCCTGAGTTCTTCCGGCCCAGGTGCTCCTGTCCCTTAGACATGCAAAGGAGACCTCAGGGCACCTTGGTGGGAGAAGCCCCATTCTGTCCGGGCTCTTCACTTGGGGAGATTTCTCAAGGGGACCCTGTGGGGTCTTCCTTCCTTCCCTCCCTCCATGGTGCCTTGGGGAAGGGCACTCCTTTTGGGATAGTTCAGGGGCTGACCTCTCTACCCTCGAGCTGCAGTGTCCCTCGGAGAGAGTCCCGGAGTTGGGTCAGTTTTTGTAGCTCTTCCTCCTGGGCTTGATGCAGCTATGGAACAGGGGACAAGACCCCATCATCCCAGGTGCAGAGCCCAGACCCGGAGCCAGCTCTTCCACACCCACAGATATCCATGGAAGGACAGGGGTCTTGACCACATGTGCAAGGGTAAGGCCCAACTTACTGCGTGTACTGAGGCTGCCAGCTTCTCAATGAAGGGGGATAGGCTCTGAGCAGCCTTCCAGCCATCTTGGAAAAAGCTGAAAGGTGTCAAAGTCAAACAAGGGTCCAGAGAGAGATGAAAATGAGAGATGAAGCCAGAAGTATGGGAGAAATCTCAAGGCAGTATAGACTGACAGTCAAGAACAGACACTCCTGACTGGGTTCAGATCCCACTTACTAGCTGTGTGATCTTAATAAATGAGCCTCAGTTTTCTCATCTGTAAAATGGAGACCATAATAGTACCTGCTCCCAGAGCTGCTGGGGGGGGGTCACATGAGATGATGTTTAAAAAGTACCTAGTGCCAGGCACATGGCGAGTACTCCATAAAGAGCAGCAATGAAGGCACTGCCAGCTAGTACAGACAGACCTCACAGATCTGCCAGGTCCTGGAGAGGGGCCTTGTTCTATGAAACCTGGAGGGTTAGGGGTGGGGACACAAGGAGATACCTACTTGTGCTGGGCGTGGAAGAACTTGATGAGGCTCTGGAGGAAGTCAGGCCCTTGCTTCATCTGGCTCTCCCCAGCTTTGAGCAGATACTAGGGAGGGAGATGGGGCAAGATCCATGATGTGAACCCAAGTGGGCTCCTGAGGACAAAGGGCTGCAATCCCCAGCCCAGGCTCATCTTCTTGGCCCTAACTGAGCCTTGGTGACATCCCACAGGGCCCTCTGGCCAGGACCTGGGCTGAGCTTGTGACTGGTCCCCAGGGGGTTCAGGAGAAGTGGACAGGATGGCATATCCCATTCCCACCATCACCCCAGAGCACCCCTTACCTCACACATGTGCAGCTGGAAGACGCGCCGCTCTCTTTGTGTGTCCTGAGCCATCTCTCCAGGGCTCCCTCCTGGCACCCTGGCCCGATCCCGCTCCTTCTCCAGCCTGGCCCTAGACCCCAAGGAAAGAGAGGCCTAAACAACTCTTGCCAGGCCCTCGTCCTCCTCTAGGATACAGTGAAGAGGCTGTGCTCGTGTGCGAGGCCCTCCTGTTCCCAGGTGTGTGGTGGGGCTGGGTACAAGAAAAAACAAGGCAGATTCGGGGAATCCACAGAGTGATGGGGGAGAAAGACATGAATCAAACCACAGCCACACAGAAAGCTGTGGGAGAGAAAATGGGGATCCCACCTCATTGGAGCTGGCCTGAGAAGTTAACTCAGAAAAAGCGAAGGCTGAGCAGGACCAGACCCTGTGACGCCCCAAGCAGGAAGGCTCAGGGACTGGTGCAGAGATGAAGTAGGCCATAGCAGCTGAGGTGGAGAGGGGCCACGCCCTGCAGAGCCTAGTTTAGACCATGTTAAGGTTCTCAATCTTGACCCCAAGAGCAAGGGGAAGGATCTGAAGGGGGTTTTGTTTGTTTGTTTTAAGACAGTCTTACTATGTCGCCCTGAGTAGAGTGCCATGGTGTCATAGCTCACAACTAACTGTTGGGCTTAAGTGATTCTCTTGCTCAGCCTCCCAAGTAGCTGGGACTACAGGCGCCTGCCACAATGCCTGGTTATTTTTCTGTTGCACTTGTTTAGTGGACCAGGGGCCAGGTTCGAACCCACCTACCTCGGTGTATGTGGCTGGTGCCCTTACCCACTGACCTATGGATGCTGCTAGGATCTGAAGGTTTTTATGCAGAAAAATGATGGGTTCAGATAAGGGCCAGGAAGAATTTGGAGTAAATGGTTCTGATTTGCCTGTAAGTGATTTAGGACCTTGTAGATTAGGAGACTACAAAGTGCCTTCATTTTTCGGAGTGCGTAGTTTCCCATTTAGTTTAGAAAGCCTTTGTTATCTTCTTTTTAAGTGAACACAGAAAGCTTTCTATCCCGGTAGCTAGAGCAGGGGAGTTCAATCTCCGCCCTCCCCTCCTCTGCCAGCCAGGATGCATGCTGATTTCGTGAGAACTTTTTTTGTTTATCTGTGGTGTCAGATATCCTGAGAAGTATGCACGGACCTTCTCTTTGCTCATCAGCTTTTGTTAGTGTTTGTGTATTTAATGTGTGGCCCAAGACAACTCTTCTTCCAATGTGGGGCAGGGACATATAAAGGGTTGGACACCCCAATCTAGACCTTCCCCCTCAGAGGTTGGCTGTTTTCCCTCTTTGGGAAATGAGTGGGTCTGTGTGTGAGTAGTTTGCTGGAAATCCAGTGCCCATCAGACTTCCTACTCACAGTGTGGAGAGGATTTCTACATCTCAGGCTGGGGGCATGTGACCATGAATCCCAAGTAAAGGAGACATCTTGCTCAACAGTTTTGTTCTCAAGTGGGCTCCAGCCCCAAAGCAGAGATGACAGAGTGGGATTGATACAGGCTGTGCCCTTACAAGCTGCATTCCGTCCCCTCCCTTCCCTTGTTTGAGCCTCAGTCTCCTCATCTGGGAAATGGGGATCCTTATCTGTCCCCAGAAGACACACAGCATGTAAAGGATTAAGCTACCATAAGACATGGCAGTTATTATTATAGGCCCTTCAAGGCCTCAGTTTTCCCATCTGTAAGCTGAGGAAGCAATGGCTTGCTATGAATTCTCAGGCCCCTCCTGGCTCTACAGTTCTGGGCCTTACTGAGAGGTAAGACCTCTGGAATAGTGTCTAGCTACAGAATCTGTCCCTGGAGACCTAGAGCAGTTTCTTGACCTTGGAACTATGGACGTTTCTGTTTGTATGTTTAGCGGCATCCCTGACCTCTACCCCCTAGTTGCCAGCAGTATCTCCCACTTGTGACAACCACAGATATCTCCAGATATCACTCCAGAGCAGGCTCTGAAGGCTTTTATTTTTTTAAGAAGGGATTATTTTTTATTTCCCTAAAGCCTTCTGATACCCCAAGCAAGAGTCTGTGGAAGGGTGGTAGAGTCGGGGTGGGGACTGACCCTGTGAACCAGGGCTGGGGTCCAGACAGATGCTTTTTTTGTGAATGTGAAGATAAGCAGCAGAGATGGGAGGTGACGGCAGGGCCTGCAGCCCGTCAGCAGCAGCGCCTGGCAGCTTGCTCAGGAGGGTGGGAGACTGAGTGACAGCAGCTGGGTTGGGGCAAGGGGATCTCCTGGTATATGCTGTTACCACCTCTTTCAATAGTGAAAAATAAAGAATAACCTAAATGGTGGCTCAGCGCCTATGGCTCAACCGGCTAAGGCGCCAGCCATGTACACCTAAGGTGGCGGGTTCAAATCCCTAGCCCGGACCCGCCAAACAACAATGACGGCTGCAACCAAAAAATAGCCAGGCGTTGTGGCGGGCGCCTGTGGTCCCAG